CTAAACCCTAAACCCTAAACCCTAAACCCTAACCCTAAACCCTAAACCCTAAACCCTAAACCCTAAACCCTAAACCCTAAACCCTAAACCCTAAACCCTAAACCCTAAACCCTAAACCCTAAACCCTAAACCCTAAACCCTAAACCCTAAACCCTAAACCCTAAACCCTAAACCCTAAACCCTAAACCCTAAACCCTAAACCCTAAACCCTAAACCCTAAACCCTAAACCCTAAACCCTAAACCCTAAACCCTAAACCCTAAACCCTAAACCCTAAACCCTAAACCCTAAACCCTAAACCCTAAACCCTAAACCCTAAACCCTAAACCCTAAACCCTAAACCCTAAACCCTAAACCCTAAACCCTAAACCCTAAACCCTAAACCCTAAACCCTAAACCCTAAACCCTAAACCCTAAACCCTAAACCCTAAACCCTAAACCCTAAACCCTAAACCCTAAACCCTAAACCCTAAACCCTAAACCCTAAACCCTAAACCCTAAACCCTAAACCCTAAACCCGAAACCCTAAACCCTAAACCCTAAACCCTAAACCCTAAACCCTAAACCCTAAACCCTAAACCCTAAACCCTAAACCCTAAACCCTAAACCCTAAACCCTAAACCCTAAACCCTAAACCCTAAACCCTAAACCCTAAACCCTAAACCCTAAACCCTAAACCCTAAACCCTAAACCCTAAACCCTAAACCCTAAACCCTAAACCCTGCATATGTATATGGAAAATGGTGCATTGGCCAGGTCGGTCAGTATGGGAACTTAGAGTGCAAATGCCAGGGAGAACGGAAGCGCTCAGATCTCGCATAGTACACAGAATCTAGTGGTCTCACTCAAATAGAAGGTAGGAAATAAATTCATCTAGTGAACGTAAGGGTTTGAAAGGTAACTAACGCACATGTGTAGAGAAAATGGTGCATCGGCCAGTCTGGCCGGCATTTCGCACTCATAGTGCAGGTGGGGCCAGGGAGAACGGAAACGCTCGTTTCTCAAAAAGTAGAGGGAATCTAACGGTCTCACTCGATCAGAAGGTGGGAAATATATAATTCTAGTCAGCTAAAAAGGTTTGAAATGTATTCAACGCACATGTATAGAGAAAATGGTGCATTGGCCAGGTCGGTCAGTATCGGAACTTAAAATGCAAATGCAGGGAGAACGGAAGCGCTCAGATCTCGCATAGTACACGGAATCAAGTGGTCTCACTCAAATAGAAAGTAGGAAATATATTCATCTAGTGAACGTAAGGGTTTCAAAGGTAACTAACGCACATGTGTAGAGAAAATTGTGCATCGGCCAGTCTGGCCGGCATTTCGCACTTATAGAGCAACTAGGGCCAAGGAGAATGGAAACGCTCATTTCTCAAAAAGTAGAGGGAATCTAGCGGTCTCACTCGATCAGAAGGTGGGAAATATATAAATCTAGTGAGCTAATAAGGTTCGAAAGGAATCTAATGCATATGTATATGGAAAATGGTGCATTGGCCAGGTCGGTCAGTATGGGAACTTAGAGTGCAAATGCCAGGGAGAACGGAAGTGCTCAGATCTCGCATAGTACACGGAATCTAGTGGTCTCACTCAAATATAAAGTAGGAAATAAATTCATCTAGAGAACGTAAGGATTTGAAAGGTAACTAACACACATGTGTAGAGAAAATGGTGCATCGGCCAGTCTGGCCGGCATTTCGCACTTATAGTGCAAGTAGGGCCAAGGAGAACGGAAACGCTCATTTCTCAAAAAGTAAAGGGAATCTAGCGGTCTCACTCGATCAGAAGGTGGGAAATATGTAAATCTAGTGAGCTAATAAGGTTCGGAAGGAATCTAATGCATATGTATATGGAAAGTGGTGCATTGGCCAGGTCGGTCAGTATGGGAACTTAGAGTGCAAATGCCTGGGAGAACGGAACCGCTCAGATCTCGCATAATACACGGAATCTAGTGGTCTCACTTAAATATAAGCTAGGAAATATATTCATCTAGTGAACGTAAGGGTTTGAAAGGAAACTAACGCACATGTGTAGAGAAAATGGTGCATCGGCCAGTCTGGCCGGCATTTCGCACTCATAGTGCAGGTGGGGCCAGGGAGAACGGAAACGCTCGTTTCTCAAAAAGTAGAGGGAATCTAACGGTCTCACTCGATCAGAAGGTGGGAAATATATAAATCTAGTCAGCTAAAAAGGTTTGAAATGTATTCAACGCACATGTATAGAGAAAATGGTGCATTGGCCAGGTCGGTCAGTATGGGAACTTAGAGTGCAAATGCCAGGGAGAACGGAAGCGCTCAGATCTCGCATAGTACACGGAATCTAGTGGTCTCACTCAAATAGAAGGTAGGAAATAAATAAATCTAGTGAACGTAAGGGTTTGAAAGGTAACTAACGCACATGTGTAGAGAAAATGGTGCATCGGCCAGTTTGGCCGGCATTTCGTGTCAGATTATTATAGCTGATGCATGTTTGTAGGCTATAGTGGGGTAGCACATATGGGGTACAGTTTGCTAGGGTTGTATTTGTACCCAACTCTGACTTAGTCAATTCATTCCTCTGCTCATAGTTTCACATGGTATCAGAGCTAGGTCCCTCCAGGACCGAATTTTTTTTTGGGCCCACCGAAGCGCGCCCCCGAGGCGCGCCCTTTTTTGTTTTAGCGACCCTTCGGGTCGCCCTCTCCCCTGCGGCCCCGCCGCCTGCCCCTTACGCGGCCCCGCGCTGGCCCCTTACGCGGCCCTGCGCCGCCGGCTCCTACGCGGCCCCGCGCCGGCCTCTTACGCGGCTCCGAGCCGGCCCCTTACGCGGCCCTGGGCCGCCGGCTCCTACTCGGCCCCTTACGCGGCCCCGCGCCGGCCTCCTTCTCGGCCCCGCCGCCGGCCTCCTACACGGCCCGCCGCCGGCCTCCTACTCGGCCCGCCACCGGCCTCCTACACGGCCCGCCGCCGGCCTCCTACTCGGCCCGCCGCCGGCCTCCTACACGGCCCCGCCGCCGGCTCCTACTCGGCTCCGCCGCCGGCCTCCTACACGGCCCGCCGCCGGCCTCCTACACGGCCCGGCCCCGGCTCCTACTCGGCCCGCCGCCGGCCTCCTACTCGGCCCGCCGCCGGCCTCCTACACGGCCCTGCCGCCGGCCTCCTACTCGGCCCGTCGCCGGCCTCCTACTCGGCCCGCCGCCGGCCTCCTACTCGGCCCGCCGCCGGCCTCCTACACGGCCCTGCCGCCGGCCTCCTACTCGGCCCGTCGCCGGCCTCCTACTCGGCCCGCCGCCGGCTCCTACTTGGCCCTACCGCCGGCCCTACCGCCGGCCTTGTCCCGGCCCCGCCACTGCACTGCAGCCGAGCCGCCCAGCAGCAGCCGAGCCGCCCAGCAGCAGCCGAGCCGCCCAGCAGCAGCCGAGCCGCCTAGCAGCAGCCGAGCCGCCCAGCCGCAGCCGAGCCGCCCAGCAGCAGTCGAGCCGCCCCGCAGTAGCCGAGCCGCCCCGCAGTAGCCGAGCCGCCCGGTACCTGAGCAGCCCGAGCCGCCTGAGCTGCACGAGCAGCCCGAGCCGCCTGCTGCTGACCTACCCGACTCTCCCATCCCGGTGAGACTTTCAGCTGCTGCTATGGCCACCCCCAATGTTCTCACTTTTGACGCTGAGGGGAGGGCCATTGACTTTGCCGTCTGGATCGAGGATCTGCAGCTGTACTTACTGTGTGATGCGGTAGATGAGGTCTCTCTCTTTGACTTTGTCTCTGGCGCTGTCCCTGCCCCGCCTGCTGATGCTGACTCTGCCGTTCGCTCCAAGTGGGCGACCCGCGATGCTGCTGCACGTCTTGCTGTGCGTCGCCACCTCCCTTCCTCTGAGCGTGCCCACTTTAGTCAGTGCAAGACCGCTCAGGCCTTGTACGACGCTGTAGTTGCGCGCTACTCCTCCCCTTCCTCCGCTACCCTTAGCCGCCTCATGCTACCGTTTCTCTTCCCTGACCTCGCTTCCTTTCCCACTGTCGCTGACCTCGTTACCCACCTCCGCGCTAGTGACACCCGCTACCGCGCTGCCCTTCCTGCTGAGTTCCGCGCTGCGAACCCTCCTCCCATGTACATCACTCTCTACTTTCTCGTCACCCGTCTTCCTGAGTCCCTTCGTGTCGTTAGGGACCAGTTTCTCTCTGTCTGTCCCACCACTCTCACTGTCGACCTCCTTGAGGAGTCCCTGCTAGCGGCTGAGAAGAGTATTGTCGCTGTAGGGGCCTCTCGGGGTGACCCTCGCACCCCCATCTTTGAGGGGTGTGGTCCCTCCCCCCTGCTGCCCTCTGTCGCCTCTGCCGCTGCGGCCGACCTCGTTGGTTTTGAGTCGGTCGGCGCGGCGTCTGCCCCCAGTGGCAGACGCCGCACTGGCAAGGGCAAGGGGGGCAAGGGAGCGGGTGGAGCCAGAGGGGGCGGTGGAGGAGGCGGTGGGGGTGGAGGGGGGAGTGGGGGTGGCGGGGGGGGTGGTGGCGGGAGTGGAGGTAGTAGTGGCGGCGGTGGAGGCGGAGGTGGCGGCGGAGGTGGTAGCGGAGGAGGCGGTGGGAGCGGTGGGAGCGACGGTCCTGGTGGGGGAGGTGGCGGTGGCGACGGGGGTGGCGGTGGAGGCGGGGGTGGCGGTGGAGGAGGGGGTCGGAGTGGCTCGTCCCAGCGGAGCAGCTCTGGGGGTGGTCAGCGCCAGCAGCAGCAGCAGCAGCAGCCACAGCAGCAGCCGCAGCAGCAGCAGCGCTCTCGCACCGTCCCCGGCCCTCAGCAGCTCCGTGAGTGGTACTTGCAGCGTCAGCGCGGTGGTGCGCTTGGTCCCTGCCCCTACGTTCTTCGCACTGGTGACCGTGCAGGGGAGAGGTGTGGAGGCGCCCACACAGCCCGTCGCTGCTTTGGCCGCCTGACCGACGCCTGGCGTCAGCAGTTTCCGGAGGCCGCTGAGATCCCCCGCTGGGGAGAGCTGTCTAGGGCTGGTGTAGCTATTTATGATCTTGATTTTGATGCTATTCTCTCTGCTATGTATGCTGTGACTGGTAGTGATGAGGATGACTGTTACCGGTGTTTCCCGCCCGACCCGGGCATTGGTACTGCCGCGTCAGGTACTAGTGCAGCTGCTGCTCTAGGTGCCAGTGCGTCTGTGCTTTCAGGTACTGGTGAGTCCGCCCTCTCAGGTACTGTGTCGGCTTCGGCCTCTCACACCTTCACCCTTGACTCTGGAGCGTCTCGCTCCTTCTTTAGGGACCGCACCACTCTCACGCCGCTGAGTCGGCCGGTTGCGGTGTCCCTGGCGGACCCCTCTGGGGGGCCTGTCCTGTCTCGCTTCTCCCTGCGTCTTCCTCGGGTTCCCCCCCGACGCCCCTGGGTGGCAGTTTTACCACCCCACCTCTCGACGTGTTCTGTCCTCCCAGGACGTCACGTTCGACGAGTCGGTACCCTACTACCGCCTCTTCCCCTACCGCACTCCGTCCCTCTCACCCCCCCCCCTCTTCTTGGTACCAGGTCCCCCCCCAGTAGTCCCCCTCCCCCCTCAGGGTCCTGCCCCTTCAGGTGTGTCTCAGGTAGACGCGGTCGAGCCTGTCGAGGTCACTGGTGACTCCGGTGCTGCTGCGGGAGCTGAGCCTGGGGGTGCGGAGTCTAGGGGTGCTGAGCCTGGGGGTGCGGAGTCTGGGGGTGCTGAGCCTGGGGGTGCTGAGCCTGGGGGTACTGTGCCTGGGGGTGCTGTGTCTGGGGGTACTGAGCCTGGGGGTGCTGAGCCGGGAGGTGCCGAGCCTGGAGGTGCTGTGCCTGGGGGTGCTTCGTCTCACCGGGAGCCGCTCTCTCCACAGGAGCTGCGTGAGTGGTTTGCCCGGCGCTGGAGGCGTGCCGCTGGTGCTGGTGGTTCTTCGGCTGCGGAGGGCGCTGCTGCCACGCGACCTGGCGGTGCTCGTCCTGTGGGTGCTGGAGCTGCTGGGTCTGAGTGTTCTCCTGGAGCTGGTCCTGCTGAGGACGTTGGCGCTGAGCCTGCGGTTGGTGGTCCGACTGACGGTGCTCCTGGTGCTGCTGCTGGAGGTTCTGGAGCTTCTGGTGGTTCTGCTGGAGGTGCTGCTGGAGTGGGTGCTCCTGCCGGGGGTGCTGGTGCTGTTCCTGCTGTTTCTGGCGTCGCCGCGCGGCCTCGACCGTACTTCGTTCCGCTCCTGCAGCAGGTTCTTGGTCTTACACCTCCTCCTCCTTCCTTAGAGGGTCCGCAGCCTGTCCGGTCACAGCCACAGCTACAGCCTGCCTCCCCTTTGCCTGCTCCTTCTCCCTACGCTGGTCCGACTGGAGGTCTTACTGAGCGTCGTGAGCCTGCGTCTCGTCCTGCGTCGCCTGTTCGTACTGAGCGCGCTAGTGGTCGCGGGTCGCGTCAGCGTCCTCCTCCTGTCCCTGGCACGCACCGGATGTCACTGCGTCCGTCCACTGCTCCTCTGCGTGCCCCTTTGCCTTCTCCTCCTGCTTCCTCTCTTCCTGCTCTTGCCGACCCGGAGTCGGACTCTCTTCGTGCTGCCAGTCCTACTGTCACGCGTCTCCTTGCTACTGCTGTCACTGACCCTTCCTTCGAGTCGTCTGCTGCGTCTGCTCTTGTCACTGAGCTTGTCGACTTTGCTGCGCGCTGTCGTCTAGACTACGCTGCTCGTCTTGTCGCTGAGTCTGAGTCCGCCTGTCCTCCGTCCGTCGGGGGTGAGTGTGCCCTTGGCACGGACGTCCTAGAGGACAGGCAGGAGGAGTTCCAGTGTCTAGCCGCTGCTTCACCTCGTCTCGCGTCTGTACTGCTAGCCCCTGAGGGAGACCCGGATGCACTAGACATCCCGACTCCGCGTTCTTACGCGGAGGCCGTAGAGGGTCCCTACTCCTCTCAGTGGCAGGCAGCTATGGATGCAGAGATGGCTTCCTGGAAGTCCACAGGCACCTACGTTGACGCGGTTCCCCCTCCTGGGGCGAACATCGTCAGTGGCATGTGGATCTTCAGGGTGAAGCGGCCGCCGGGCTCGCCGCCTGTCTTCAAGGCGCGTTACGTGGCTCGTGGCTTCAGTCAGCGGCAGGGAGTTGACTACTTTCAGACCTTCTCTCCCACCCCGAAGATGACCACTCTTCGGGTGCTGCTGCACATTGCCGCTCAGCGCGACTACGAGCTTCACTCTCTCGACTTCAGCACTGCGTTCCTGCAGGGTAGCCTGCACGAGGAGATCTGGCTGCGCCGTCCGCCTGGCTTCACTGGGACTTTCCCTCCTGGCACCCAGTGGAGCCTCCGACGGCCAGTCTACGGTCTCCGCCAGGCACCGCGTGAGTGGCACGACACACTGAGGACTACGCTTGCGGCTCTTGGGTTTGCTCCTTCTACTGCTGACCCGTCGCTGTTTCTTCGCACCGACACTTCCCTGCCGCCGTTCTACATCCTCGTGTACGTCGACGACTTGGTCTTTGCCACAGCGGACACTGCTGGACTCGCCTACGTGAAGTCCGAGCTGCTGAAGAGACACACGTGCACAGACCTGGGTGAACTGCGCAGCTACCTTGGCTTGCAGATCACTCGGGACAGAGCACGCCGCACCATTACCCTGACTCAGTCACACATGGTGCAGCAGGTCCTTCAGCGCTTCGGCTTCACGTACTCCTCGCCTCAGGCCACTCCTCTGCCTACTCGCCACTCACTCTCAGCTCTGCCTTCGGATGAGTCCGTAGAGTCGAGTGGTCCGTATGCAGAGCTTGTTGGCTGCCTCATGTACCTGATGACCTGCACTCGACCTGACCTTGCATACCCTCTGAGCATCCTTGCACGCTATGTTGCTCCTGGGAGACACCGACCAGAGCACATGGCTGCAGCGAAGAGGGTATTGCGCTACCTGTGCAGTACGTCGGGCATGGGGCTAGTGCTTGGAGGGCGGAGTCCAGTGGTCCTTACTGGGCACGCAGACGCTTCTTGGGCTGACGACCAGGCTACGCAGCGGTCGTCACAGGGTTACACCTTCAGCCTTGGTTCCGGCTCTGTCTCGTGGCGGTCTACTCGCTCGTCTTCGGTTCTCGGCTCCAGTTGTGAGGCTGAGATCTACGCCGGGGCCATGGCTGCACAGGAGCTTCGCTGGCTCACCTACCTGCTGACTGACCTTGGAGAGCTGCCTCGTTCTCCTCCAGTGCTGTACGTAGACAACAAGGCCATGTTGGCCTTGTGTCGAGAGCAGCGCTTGGAGCACAGAACGAAGCACATTGCTCTCCGCTACTTCCTTGCTCGTGAGCTGCAGCAGCGTGGTCAGTTGCGACTTGCTTACGTGGCCTCTGAGGCCAACACTGCTGATGTGTTCACCAAGGCACTTGCGCCTTGCGACCATCAGCGCTTTTGTACCCAGCTGGGTCTTGTACCTGTCTTGCCTCACTTGCTCTCTTCTTGACTTTACTTGTACTTTGACATATATATACCTGCTCTTGCTTGTCTAGTTTTATATATATGTCTTTACTCCTGCATGTGAACTGGCCTCTGACCTTGCTCTTGTGCTCGGACTGTGTGGTGACTTTGTGATCCACCCTGAGCTTGTTTTGCTTTGCTTGACTGGTCTTGTGACCCCTTGTTCTCCCCCACTTTGCCTATGGGGGTGTGTCAGATTATTATAGCTGATGCATGTTTGTAGGCTATAGTGGGGTAGCACATATGGGGTACAGTTTGCTAGGGTTGTATTTGTACCCAACTCTGACTTAGTCAATTCATTCCTCTGCTCATAGTTTCACATTTCGCACTTATAGTGCAACTAGGGCCAAGGAGAATGGAAACGCTCATTTCTCAAAAAGTAGAGGGAATCTAGCGGTCTCACTCGATCAGAAGGTGGGAAATATATAAATCTAGTGAGCTAATAAGGTTCGAAAGGAATCTAATGCATATGTATATGGAAATGGTGCATTGGCCAGGTCGGTCAGTATGGGAACTTAGAGTGCAAATGCCAGGGAGAACGGAAGCGCTCAGATCTCGCATAGTACACGGAATCTAGTGGTCTCACTCAAATAGAAGGTAGGAAATAAATTCATCTAGTGAACGTAAGGGTTTGAAAGGTAACTAACGCACATGTGTAGAGAGAATGGTGCATCGGCCAGTCTGGCCGGCATTTCGCACTTATAGTGCAAGTAGGGCCAAGGAGAACGGAAACGCTCATTTCTCAAAAAGTAGAGGGAATCTAGCGGTCTCACTCGATCAGAAGGTGGGAAATATATAAACCTAGTGAGCTAATAAGATTCGGAAGGAATCTAATGCATATTTATATGGAAAGTGGTGCATTGGCCAGGTCGGTCAGTATGGGAACTTAGAGTGCAAATGCCAGGGAGAACGGAAGCGCTCAGATCTCGCATAGTACACGGAATCTAGTGGTCTCACTCAAATAGAAGGTAGGAAATAAATTCATCTAGTGAACGTAAGGGTTTGAAAGGTAACTAACGCACATGTGTAGAGAAAATGGTGCATCGGCCAGTCTGGCCGGCATTTCGCACTTATAGTGCAACTAGGGCCAAGGAGAACGGAAACGCTCATTTCTCAAAAAGTAGAGGGAATCTAGCGGTCTCACTCGATCAGAAGGTGGGAAATATATAAATCTAGTGAGCTAATAAGGTTCGAAAGGAATCTAATGCATATGTATATGGAAAGTGGAGCATTGGCCAGGTCGGTCAGCATGGGAACTTATAGTGCAAATGCCTGGGAGAACGGAACCGCTCAGATCTCGCATAAGACACGGAATCTAGTGGTCTCACTCAAATATAAGGTAGGAAATATATTCATCTAGTGAACGTAAGGGTTTGAAAGGTAACTAACGCACATGTGTAGAGAAAATGGTGCATCGGCCAGTCTGGCCGGCATTTCGCACTCATAGTGCAGGTGGGGCCAGGGAGAACGGAAACGCTCGTTTCTCAAAAAGTGGAGGGAATCTAACGGTCTCACTCGATCAGAAGGTGGGAAATATATAAATCTAGTCAGCTAAAAAGGTTTGAAATGTATTCAACGCACATGTATGAAGAAAATGGTGCATTGGCCAGGCCGGTCAGTATCGGAACTTAAAATGCAAATGCCAGGGAGAACGGAAGCGCTCAGATCTCGCATAGTACACGGAATCAAGTGGTCTCACTCAAATAGAAAGTAGGAAATATATTCATCTAGTGAACGTAAGGGTTTGAAAGGTAACTAACGCACATGTGTAGAGAAAATTGTGCATCGGCCAGTCTGGCCGGCATTTCGCACTTATAGTGCAACTAGGGCCAAGGAGAACGGAAACGCTCATTTCTCGAAAAGTAGAGGGAATCTAGCGGTCTCACTTGATCAGAAGGTGGGAAATATATAAATCTAGTAAGCTAATAAGGTTCGAAAGGAATCTAATGCATATGTATATGGAAAATGGTGCATTGGCCAGGTCGGTCAGTATGGGAACTTAGAGTGCAAATGCCAGGGAGAACGGAAGCGCTCAGATCTCGCATAGTACACGGAATCTAGTGGTCTCACTCAAATAGAAGGTAGGAAATATATTCATCTAGTGAACGTAAGGGTTTGAAAGGTAACTAACGCACATGTGTAGAGAAAATTGTGCATCGGCCAGTCTGGCCGGCATTTCGCACTTATAGTGCAAGTAGGGCCAAGGAGAACGGAAACGCTCATTTCTCAAAAAGGAAAGGGAATCTAGCGGTCTCACTCGATCAGAAGGTGGGAAATATATAAATCTAGTGGGCTAATAAGGTTCTGAAGGAATCTAATGCAAATGTATATCGAAAGTGGTGCATTGGCCAGGTCGGTCAGTATGGGAACTTAGAGTGCAAATGCCTGGGAGAACGGAACCGCTCAGATCTCGCATAGTACACGGAATCTAGTGGTCTCACTCAAATAGAAGGTAGGAAATAAATTCATCTAGTGAACGTAAGGGTTTGAACGGTAACTAACGCACATGTGTAGAGAAAATGGTGCATCGGCCAGTCTGGCTGGCATTTCGCACTTATAGTGCAAGTAGGGCCAAGGAGAACGGAAACGCTCATTTTTCAAAAAGTAAAGGGAATCTAGCGGTCTCACTCGATCAGAAGGTGGGAAATATATAAATCTAGTGAGCTAATAAGGTTCCGAAGGAATCTAATGCATATGTATATCGAAAGTGGTGCATTGGCCAGGTCGGTCAGTATGGGAACTTAGAGTGCAAATGCCTGGGAGAACGGAACCGCTCAGATCTCGCATAATACACAGAATCTAGTGGTCTCACTCAAATATAAGATAGGAAATATATTCATCTAGTGAACGTAAGGGTTTGAAAGGTAACTAACGCACATGTGAAGAGAAAATGGTGCATCGGCCAGTCTGGCCGGCATTTCGCACTCATAGTGCAGGTGGGGCCAGGGAGAACGGAAACGCTCGTTTCTCAAAAAGTGGAGGGAATCTAACGGGCTCACTCGATCAGAAGGTGGGAAATATATAAATCTAGTCAGCTAAAAAGGTTTGAAATGTATTCAACGCACATGTATGAAGAAAATGGTGCATTGGCCAGGTCGGTCAGTATCGGAACTTAAAATGCAAATGCCAGGGAGAACGGAAGCGCTCAGATCTCGCATAGTACACGGAATCAAGTGGTCTCACTCAAATAGAAAGTAGGAAATAAATTCATCTAGTGAACGTAAGGGTTTGAAAGGTAACTAACGCACATGTGTAGAGAAAATTGTGCATCGGCCAGTCTGGCCGGCATTTCGCACTTATAGTGCAACTAGGGCCAAGGAGAACGGAAACGCTCATTTCTCGAAAAGTAGAGGGAATCTAGCGGTCTCACTTGATCAGAAGGTGGGAAATATATAAATCTAGTAAGCTAATAAGGTTTGAAAGGAATCTAATGCATATGTATATAGAAATTGGTGCATTGGCCAGGTCGGTCAGTATCGGAACTTAGAGTGCAAATGCCAGGGAGAACGGAAGCGCTCAGATCTCGCATAGTACACGGAATCTAGTGGTCTCACTCAAATGGAAGGTAGGAAATATATTCATCTAGTGAACGTAAGGGTTTGAAAGGTAACTAACGCACATGTGTAGAGAAAATTGTGCATCGGCCAGTCTGGCCGGCATTTCGCACTTATAGTGCAAGTAGGGCCAAGGAGAACGGAAACGCTCATTTCTCAAAAAGTAGAGGGAATCTAGCGGTCTCACTCGATCGGAAGGTGGGAAATATATTTATCTAGTGAGCTAATAAGGTTCGAAAGGAATCTAATGCATATGTATATGGAAAATGGTGCATAGGCCAGGTCGGTCAGTATGGGAACTTAGAGTGCAAATGCCAGGGAGAACGGAAGCGCTCAGATCTCGCATAGTACACGAAATCTAGTGGTCTCACTCAAATAGAAGGTAGGAAATAAATTCATCTAGTGAACGTAAGGGTTTGAAAGGTAACTAACGCACATGTGTAGAGAAAATGGTGCATCGGCCAGTCTAGCCGGCATTTCGCACTTGTAGTGCAAGTAGGGCCAAGGAGAACGGAAACGCTCATTTCTCGAAAAGAAGAGGGAATCTAGCGGTCTCACTCGATCACAAGGTGGGAAATATATAAATCTAGTGAGCTAATAAGGTTCGAAAGGAATCTAATGCATATGTATATGGAAAATGGTGCATTGGCCAGGTCGGTCAGTATGGGAACTTAGAGTGCAAATGCCAGGGAGAACGGAAGCGCTCAGATCTCGCATAGTACACGGAATCTAGTGGTCTCACTCAAATAGAAGGTAGGAAATAAATTCATCTAGTGAACGTAAGGGTTTGAAAGGTAACTAATGTGAAGCAAGGAAAATAGGAATGAAATGACTAAGGAAAGATTGGGTACAAATACAACCCTAGAAACCCTGTACCCCATATGTGCTACCCCACTATAGCCTACAGCAACTATGTCATATAAATCTGACACACCCCCATAGGCAAAGTGGGGGAGAACAAGGGGTCACAAGACCAGTCAAGCAAAGCAAAGCAAGCTCAGGGTGGATCACAAAGTCACCACACAGTCCGAGCACAAGAGTAGGGCCAGAGGCCAGTTCACATGCAGGAGTACAGACATATATACAAAACTAGACAAGCAAGAGCAGGTATATATATATGTCACAGTACAAGTGAAGTCAAGAGGAGAGCAAGTGAGGCAAGACAGGCACAAGACCCAGCTGGGTGCAAAAGCGCTGATGGTCACAAGGCGCGAGTGCCTTGGTGAACACATCAGCAGTGTTGGCCTCAGAGGCCACGTACGCAAGTCGCAACTGACCACGCTGCTGCAGCTCACGAGCAAGGAAGTAGCGGAGAGCAATGTGCTTCGTTCTGTGCTCCAAGCGCTGCTCTCGACACAAGGCCAGCATGGCCTTGTTGTCTACGTAAAGCACTGGAGGAGAACGAGGCGGCTCTCCAAGGTCAGTCAGCAGG